GGTCTGGGGAATCGTACACCATCCATTTTACTGTATCCTCAGCACTAACTTCTGAACATCCAGGAATTTTCAAAAGAATGTTTCTTAATTTTTTCAAGTGGCATGTCATCCTCGTCTTCTCCTGTCTCTTCCCTTTCCTTTTCTTGAGCTTCTTTTCCATTTTTATCCTTTTCCTTCTCTTCTTCAGATGATTCTGGAAAATTCTACAATTCTGAAAGCGATTCGGATAATCAGAGATTCGGATAATCAGAGAATCGGATAGTCAGAGTTCGGATAATCAGAGATTCGGATAGCCAGAGTTCGGATAATCAGAGATTCGGATAGCCAGAGTTCGGATAATCAGAGATTCGGTCAGTTGGAGTTCGGATAATTGGAGTTGTGCTGTATTAAAAATCACTAGTTTAGTACGATTCATTGATATAGAATATACATAGCTGACACACTTCTAGTCATTGCCCAACCGGAGATAGTGGTTAGGGACTCTGACTGGTTCTGACTGCTGTACCGAAGGTCCCGGTTTCGAATCCTAGCAGAGGCATGGATATTTGTAAGTGTACAGTGTCTTGTGCGGCATGGGGGCACTATAAACATGTGGTGAACCGGAAGTCCTCTCGAGAGGATGTGGTTGGGGAAGAGGGGTAGGAGACTCGACCCGTCCCGCAGGGTGCTCTTCTTTAAAAATAGGGGGGAAGTGAGGAAAGTCGTACTGTCACCTGTATGGTGCCCACGACTGTTGCCAACGACAGGTGCAATCTTGTCTCCTTGCCACAATGAATTTCATGCGCTTGCTTGGTATCGGACTAGCCAGATTGTTCACAACAAAAACAGCATTTTTTATGATTTCGTCTGGCTTTTAAATGTACCGGAAAAATGGCTGAAGGAACACCAAATTTAAAAACAACTTCATAAAAAAAAGTTATTACGTATAATAAAATTACAATGAAATAAGCAATATCCCTTAATACAAATACTAATTATCCTAATAAATAAATTAACCAGCTTCCCTTTGCAAAATCTTAAGAACTCAAGTGGTATAAAGGAGGTTAAGAACTTTGTTTCCTAAAAAATCACTCAAAACTTTTCAATATCTTAAAAACAGTGAAATGAGCAATAAATAACATAAAAAGAATACAAAAAAATCTGAAAAGCAAAGCATAATTAATAATATTTTATCTTATATTTTCAAGAGAAAAAAATTACAATGAAATAAGCTATATCCCTTAATACAAATGTTACTTATCCTAATAAAGAAATTAACCAACTTTCCGTTGAAGAAAAAAATCATGCAAAACTTTTCAATATCTTACAAAGAGTGAAATAAGCAAAAAATAACATGAAAGAAACTCAAAAAACAAAAAATTCCGCGCAAAATTTTACTCTGCAGAACAAATTTATCAAAAAAAAAAATCAATGAAAATGTGTTATATATATATAAAAATGGCAATAAAATATGCCAATCTCTTAAAAACAGATTAAAAACAGTGACATAAGAAATTCGATGAAAAATTGTTGCCAACCCCATATTTCTAAAAGAAAAACTATTCTAAATGATGCGATTTCATCAAAAATCTATCAACAACAATAAGATAGAAAACAGTTGCCAAAATCATATTTTTAAAGATGTGAGATGCGAGAAGTGTACTCGGAAGCTTCATTTAAAAAATGTTTTAAAAATACAAAATATTATCATTTTTCCAAAATTCGTTTTGTAAAAGCAGTCGCAAGGGTGAAAGTTTAACGTGTCCAAAAATCAAAGAAAAATAAACATTTTTTAGAAAAAATCCCGTTGAAAAGATGTTGAAGCTCACTTTGTTAAATAAATTCGTATTGAATCGATTTATTGAAACACGAAATTTATTTTAAGTTCGTAAAATAGCTAAGTGCCTACGTTTCATGACGATGTGAAAATGGAGTGTGTAGAGTGAAATCTCGTTTTTCCTATAGCCCATTATGCCTCAAAATGACGCGATTTAGTCACAAAACAAAAAATAAAAAAAATTCTAGTTCGAATTTCGAAAAAATCGTTTCGAGGTGCACTGGCTCTTGTCTAGATGTACCTGTGTATCAAATTTCGTAGCCGGGGGTCTATTAGCTTACTCGCAGCGCGAACGAAAGACACACACACACACATACAGACTCTTTCATTTATTATATGTAAAGAAAATAGGGCAATTTAGAACAAGAAAATGAAACCAGATATACAAAAGAGAAAAAATAAGCTTTATAAATACTGTTACATGTTCAGGCATGTTTTTAATGGCCAACTCTCTCGCGATATTTCTCCTATGAATTCATGACAACATGTTAATATTTTGAAGCACTATACAGTGCTTTAGCAAGGAACCATTGTGTTTTCATAATTGTAAAATACATAATTTTGTTTTGAAATGCTATAAGAAATCTTAATCATTATAAGGAATCAACAACTATTCAACACTTCCTTTGAGCAATTTCTTTATTGAAAGTAAACTTCTAAGACGTATAAAATAAATATATGTCCATCCCCCCCGGGGGAAAAATGAGCGAGATCAGACTTGTATGCATGTAAAATGTAGCTGAGGATGAGATAGCTGAGGCTTGATCGGGCTAGCTGAGGGAGAAAGAATGCTTTTAGGAAAGCACAGAATTTCTCTTCACGTAGTATGCTTATAAATACTTAAATTTTAGAATTCATGTTCCTGTATTTTTAGAAAGATTTTTGAAATCATCTTGGGTGATTGCTTAAGGGAACTCATACACCTTAAACCCCTCATGATCTTCGAATATGTGACTGTTGCAGGAATTGAGATATTTTATTTATTTTAAAAGCAATTACTTCCAACGTTTTACAGCTGACTATATAATATAGCTGCTTTGAGAACTAGTAACCAGAAAGTTTGTGTTGCCAAAAATATTTTTATAATTTAATCCTCTTTGTGACAAAATATTTCGCCATGTTTCCATCTTGCGCGCATGATATTTAAAAAATGGCTGATGGTACATACTTGAAATTTGATGGAATTCTTTATATGGGCACTATTTCTAACTGAACCAACAATCTGATGGATATTTTAGTACTGAAAAATTTTATGGACGGAAACATTACAAATTTTTTTAATAAAATACATTTTATAAACTCAACTCCAAATAAAATAAAAATTTGACATGAAATTTTTAGAATTTTAGGTTCAAATTAATTTCCAAATGTTATAAAAGGTATATATTAAATATGGAATTAAATTATGAAACAGAATGTTTTAAACTGTGCGCGCAAGTTGGAAACATGACGAAAAATGTTGTCACAAAGCGGATTAAATTATAAAAATATTTATAGCAACACAAACTTTCTGATGACTATTTCAGAAAGCAGCTGTATTATGTAGTCAGCTGTAAAAAGTTGGTAGTAATTGCTTTTAAAATAAATAAGTTATCCCAATTCTCGTGAGAGTCACCTATTCGAACATCTTATGGGTTTTAAGGTGTATGAGTCCCCTTAAGTCTTACGTAATTTTACAGAGCTCGAACAATTTGCTATAGACTTCGTAATTTTTTTCTACCTGTAGAGCGGAAAAGTGATGCTCATTTTCTTCTTATTTAGATCTCGTATAAAGATTATATTTAGATATGTATAAAGATTATATTTAGATCGTATAAAGGGGAAGAATCTTTTTCTAGACTTGGGAACATTCTTTCTTGCATAATACAAATAATACAATACTCTACAAATGGCGTCAGAGCTAACGTCACTCATTAAAGTCATTTATAATATTTTAAATTATGGTGGACGATCGTTCACCACAGCCTGTATTTAGTAGCTGGGTCTGCTCCCTCCCCACTCGTCCTTTAAGTTAGGGAAAATATTAGGAATTTTCCCTCTCCTCACTGCTTGCTTTCGTGGTGTAATTGGAAAGGAGGTCTAGCTAAGAAACGGAAGTTCTGAAGCTCGTATCCGGCAAGGACATCGTTGATTTTCCCTGTTATAAAAATAACCTAAAAAATAAAGTGTGAGTAAAGACTTGAGCTTTCAAGAAATACCATAAAATGTCTTGTGGTGTAGTGGTCGAAACCGCTACGTAAACCCTTGGTTGTGACACAGGGTTGAAATGAACTTGTAACTCAAGGTTTAACAATAACATGGATTTTAATAAGACAAAAACCTTAACAGTTGCATACCTTGACAATACGGGACTTGGATATATTTAGTCCCGTAATTTCAGAATTTTGTTACAGGAAAAATGCTCTAACGCATTATACATGAGGAATGATCGTTCTTAACGGGCCAACATGCCCATAGCTCTAAACAGGAAAGTTTTTTCTCTCTACTCAGAAAACCACCTTATATATATCTCTGTGTTTATTTGCGCTGAACACTCAGGGGGGGGAGATTCTTTCACTCATACATAACAAAGTGTCCATCTCCTGACCCTGATGAAAAGACTTCTTGTACCTCTTTGTCCACTGGAGTGACCTTCGAGGCTGCACCCGGAATCGTTAAAGCACAGGATTTCACTACTGATATGAAAAGTACTGCAACCTGAAATCACTCCCCCTCCACAAAGAATCTTTATGCCACCTTATTACAGTCTATTGAATTCCCCGGTAGATTTTCCTTTTGGTTTTGGCTACATTTAATTTCCAAATCTTACCGCAATAAATTGTTTCTATGGGGGCATTTGAAAGCTTCAAGTTTATGACCCAACCCTCCTGTGATCAATAGCCTTGAAAATGTAATACATCAGAAGATTGCTATTGCTATGCAAAATACGTAACGTTACGTTACGTAACGGTAGGGTGCACCTGGAAGACAGCAGTAGTACTTTGATTATCGTAGATGACATCTCCAAGGGGGCTGTACTGAACATTTCATGTCTTGTAAATACAAGACTTTGACTAATTCAGTTGCAGTTATTGCTGGGCACAATAAACGTGTAAAATGCCCCACTCTCTGTTTAATAAAAATGCTCTAATATTATACAATAGTCTTCGAATAATAATATTAATAATCTTCGAAAGTATCTCACCTTGGCGTTAAACTCGGCGAGGATTTCGAAATGCCTTTTCAAGTCAGTCGCCAAAATGCACTCGATGACCAGGAATCGGAACCTCTTGAACTCTGCCTTGTCCAAATGGCAAAGGAAGTTGTATTCTGGCCTTGATAGGAAGAGACTCCAAGCAGAAGCGGCGTGGTGGTTTTCCAGGACAGACCGGTCATTGTACAGCACCGCCTAAAACAGAAGACCAGAATTACTAATTGTTAATACAGTATAATTTGATTTTGCCTTGAACACCATTTCGGTCAAATTGTGATACTCATAGATAAAAGATGATGCGGTAGATAACAGCTTCATTCTAATGGACAATAATGGCGTCCAGATATATATTTAATACAGTATGATACCTATGAATATTATAAATAAATTAAACTTTAAGCACTACAAAACCAGAATTCAGCAATGATATCAATACACTCTAAATTGTGAACAGATTCGCTGAACGGCACATTAACCAGTTAACTGTGGCGCCCTCGTTAAAGAGTGCGCACCGTTTTGTGTCGCCAGACTCAAGCCATGAGGAGTATATTCGTCAATCACAGATTAGGTTGCGCTGGTAAGATATGGGATGAAAAAGATGGGTTTATTTTATAAAATTGAAAATTTTATTACTAATATTTACTTATTTGGTTAGCATAAGCATATATTACATACATATTAAACTAAAAACGCAATAAATTAAATATTATACATATAAAAGTAAGAATTTAAATTCCTGCTGTGGAGTGATATTCAGCGAAACAGGGTACTTTACACAATGGGACTTTGCAAATCGAACACCAGTCACGCGATTCCTTCTGATCTTACGTTTTTAGCAATGTGAGCGCCTTCGCGCAGGGTTTTTTTTTTTTTTTTGATTTTCCGAGTATATAATCCGGAACGTGATTCCCGCTTAATTGGCTTATATTAAGTCTAAATGCCCGAGTTTGTGTCGATTTATTTCTTTCAACTGTATACGTCGCAAAAGTGTCTTCAATAAATTTGAGCAAAAGTTGATACGCGATAATGTTCTATTATTTTTTTATATAATATGAATGCATTCAGACACATATTGTCTAAGGAAATGGAGAAATATGTTTTTGTAGTACTTTTTGAGTCGTTTTTCTGCTGTGGAGTACGCTATGATAATTTCATCGTTCCTGTCCACTCCACCCATTTTTTTTTATTATAATCCATCACTAGCTCCGGTTTCTTTGTTATTATTTTTCTTTTCTCTGTTACTATTACGTTGACATTATGTACAGTACTTACTAAATAAACCTCCCTCTTATCTTTCCATTTCATTATACGCATGACGAGTATACTCGTCAATACACAAAGTCGTGCCGCTTCTCCAGGACGAGTATACTCGTCAATCTCAGTTAACTGGTTAAAATAAGGGGTCAGCCCGACGTGATATTGCTCATACTGAAACAACTGAAATTGCAATAATTGCGTTTCATTTTTAATAACGGAAAGGTTGTCGATAGCATTAATCTTTTCAAATTTTTGATTTGAAATGTTTTACGGCTTTTAGGTTAGATTTGAAAAATTTGACTGATGAAAAAATTAGAACATTCGAGATTTTGAATCTCAAAACTTTTGTGAAACTTGCTTAATGCAAGGACTACAATTTTCTGTCCTTACAATACCGTAGCGGACGAAATTAAGACATGGAACACTTTTTCCCAAATATCTCGAGAAATACTGGATAGAAATAAATGAAATCAGGTATGCTTATAGTTTATTGTATGACAATAATGTCCGCAGAACAACAACGAAAATTGTCATTCATTAGCATGAATTATGGCCAAGACTCCAATGTGGTCCAAACTTGAATTTGAAAGATGGCAGTGGGAATATGGTTGGTACGATATGTGGTCGTCTCTGACAGACTGACAACATGCACAACAAGTAGCCATGCTGTTAACAAGAGAGTTCAAAATTGCCTGTCCAATTCGCACCCACTCTTCAACCAAAGTAACTTTTAACTACTGAATCATCTGGATGGCGTTTTGCCTCTTGCAAAAACTCTCCCAAGAGAATTCCAAGCATGTTCAATAGGATTAAAGTCAGGAGAGTTGTCTGGCCCATCCATTTGGTGAATATCCTCGCTTTCCAGATATTCATCAAACAGGCGGGATCAACGCGGTCGTCCATAAAAATGAACTCAGGGCCAACAATAGCACTGAGAAGTTGCATGTAAGGCTGTGGGATCTGTTGCCTGTGCCTGTGACCATTCACGGAACCAGTGTCAACCACATAGAGCGGTGTGCGGGCATTTTGCATGATCCCTTCCAAGACCATCCTTCCTCCACCACCATACTGGTCCCTTTCCGTGATGTTGCTGAGAAGGGACTAAGTCCCAGGTTCCCTCTATATCAGTGGTGGCGAACATTTCAAAGCCCGCCTACCCAAAACCTTTTTTTTTGGGGGGGGGCGCGTGCCTCAAACTTCTTTGATTAAATTCCCATCGGAGATCACTTTACCATGTTTTTCCAGGCACAGTGAAATTTGAAAGTTAGCCGTTGTTAGATGGTTTGTTTTAGAAAGATAATTGCAAAAACCAACTTTCTGGTAATTACAATCCCTCAGTTTCGCTTCAATAAACACCTTCCGTTCAGCTTCATCAAGTTTGGCAACAATCTTGTGGTTGGTGTTAAAGTGCCGTCTGACACTAGATGTGCGACACAATACTTTCCGTGCACAGAATAACGCTTTCCTATTGTGCTTAATAACTCCAAATGATTCTGTGCAGGTTTTTTTGAAATGATCCTCCACTATAAACGTTTAATTTTGCTTTTTTTTTTTTTGCTCGAGTCATTGGTGAGGGTTCAAGACCTGGAGTACAGAAAAGCACAAAATTTAAAAATGAAGCATTAAATATAAATCTGTCATATACTAAAAAGAGATAACATTATTATCCAGTACTAAGAAATTGGATTTTCACGAAACAACAATCCATGGCTGAAGATTTAAATATAAACAGGGGACAGCTGTCACCGTTAACTCGAACTTCTCTTTTCTAAACTTCTAACGTTAGATTTAATATGCTTATTTTCGGCTTTATTTGGCTTATTTTGGCTGAGCGCATGTGAATAAGCTTGGTTTGGCATGAGAATAAGCTTTCGTGTTTTACTATATTGTCAAGTTGCGTGTTTTTACATTATATTTGTACATTCCGTTTAAGGTATTAAATTAGAATTATTCATAAGTTACCTCAAAATGCTTAGATCTGAAAAATGGAATCTATTTAACAATGAAAGTATTAAAATTAACCGGCAGTTTGCAATAAATATGAATTCGTTTAGCAAACATTAGCTGCTTCAACTTTCGAGTATTCTTTGCCATGTAACAAGTCATATGATTGGCCCAAACAATTGAAACGTTATAAACTGGGTCAATAACTATGTATATCATTTCTATGGCGATATATGATAATCTTATATCTAGGCTTAGGCCCTACGCCAGTGGCATTTTGCGATAAGTAAGTGAGACGTTCAAGAACATGCTAAAGCACTTATTTAAATTACATAGTATCATTTTATTGTGATTATGAATTAAGGAAATAATATTTTAGTCGCGTGCCGGGTGATGAGGCTGTGCGTGCCGAATGTGGCACGCGTGCCATAGGTTTGCCATCACTGCTCTATATCAATAATCGCCGAGAATCAGGTTGTAGACTGACTTTAGACTCATCCGCGAAGAGAGCGCTAGACCATTGAAGATGTGTCTATTGTTGGTATTGTATGCACCATTGTAAACGCTCTTTTGCGGAAGAGAAGGAGTAGGATGTAAATAGCGGGTTTTCTGGCCTACAGTCTTATCTCATGGAGCCTTCTGTTAACTGTCATCCTTGAAACTGATGTTCCTGTGGCAGTAGCGAGGTCACGAGATAGTTGTGTGACCCTAGACGTCATGTGGTGCTTGGCTGAAATTACCAAAAACCGGTCGTCATTGGTCGTTGTAAAGCTCTTTGGCAACCTTGTCCTAGTCTTCTGTACCTAGTCATAGTCCTTGTCTTGCTGTTTCTAAACTAGTTGCACCAATTAGGGATGTGATCCAGTGTCTTGGTGTGTCCATCGTGTCTTTTGTGTGTCCATAGTGTCTTTGGTGTGTCCATAGTGTCTTTGGTGTGTCCATAGTGTCTTTGGAGTGTCCATAGTGTCTTAGTGTGTCCGTAGTGTCTTGGGTGATATCCAGTTGTCATGCAACCTGAGCATGGGACTGCCTTGCCATAAGCTTACCCATGAATCCCCATTTCATACCTTTGTCTAAGCGATGATAGGTATTCATTTCCTTTAGAAAACAACAAAAAACAACAAGATTATTCAAGAAAGACGAAAACATCACTTCTGTGTCGCAGAGCAGCTGGAGGCGGACTTTTATACCCCTTGCTGGCTTAGCGACACCCACAGGAATACGTAAACTACTCAGTGACACCAGCGCTACAGTGATATTATATGGCAATCAATTGTCTAGGTTTAAGGAGAAACACGGGAAAATATTTTACACCTATTAATTTTATCCACGAGTACATTTCAACTACAATAATACTGAAGCATCCGGACAAAGAAATTAGTTTTCCTGATGAGCGACTGATACGAAGAATTCGTCAGTGGAATAATAACTATAGCATATTTTTAAAAATATTTGTGTTTATTTGTTTCTAATTTGGTATATGTATATTTAATCTATTTTTATGAAATTGTTCTTATTATTTGTTTACTTTTTTATTTAATTAGTGCACATTTTATACTAGTTTTGCAGTTATTTATTACCGTATTTATTTGCGTTTTTCTACTCTTTTTTGCTTAGTACCAAGTTTCAAAAATTTAAAAACATATTTCCATAATTTTCTTCTTCCTCAATGCTGCTTTAAATTTTAAAATGGATTCGTTCACGTGGTAATTACTTTCGTGTTACCAAAGCAAGCCCTCATAGAATACCTGCGAAGGTCACGCTGAAACTTTCCCTTTTAACTATTGACCTTGACGCCAGTCTAATGCAATAACCGACCTATCACAACGAAGCAAACACGAAGAGACGTTTATCTACAGATTTGGATAGATCACCTTCTCTAATTGCACATTCACTGTCTCTAATTATTTATGGATGATTTGAGGCTTATTGAGTAGCAGAGACAACAACAAAAGCGGACGCAATTCAAATAACAAAGTAGAAATGAAGACATC